AATAGCAAGAAGATCTGCGGGTATTTGGGGAGCAAGTCTCATACTTTTTTTTTGTTGTTGTTATTGTTGTGTTTTGTTTTCCCTATTTTTTTTGGCAGAACCAGGAATTGAACTCAGGCCCTTGCATTTATCATTCTTGTTATGGTGAGATTATCATTTATAAGTTACCAGAGTTTCTCTGGCCCAACACAAACTTTAGCTCCTCCAAAACGCAGAGAAATCTTCAGTTTGTCCTCAGTTACTAGTAAACGTCATTTTAGGTTTGCCTGAGAATGCCGACAGGAATACCTTACCCCCTGGAATACAAGTCTGGTAATATATTGCTTATGAATATAGTTTTAAAATTATCCACAAACAGCTTGACATTTTGATACATTGGTTTAGCAATGTAAGAGGATAATATGACTGATCCCTAAATCACTCCCTACCTCCCCTTAGGACTGATTTTCTTTCCTCCCAAAGGTTCTTTGACGCACAGCAACATATTTATCTGTGCTGCACAGGAAGCTATGTGTGCTGTAGAAAACAGTATGCTAGGTGTCAGGAGACCTGGCTCCACTCTCGTATCCACCCCACTCCCATGCTACGGCTCAAAGCCGTTAGTTAACCACTTGGTTCTCTAATTTCTCCCTCTTCTCACGATAATTCAATAGTAAGTAAATAACATCAGCACTGGCATGAGGATCAAGATAAAGAGCACAGGAGCACTTCAGTAAATACAGTACAACGCAACTATAATTTAGCATTCATATATAACACTGCCTCATAATGCCCTCAAATTATTTCATAAACAGATTTTCTCCTTTCTAGTCAGACAAGTTCCTTGAGAGACGTGCCATACAATTTTTCTTTGTATCTGATGAAATACATAATACACACATAATTATTGTTTGAAAATTGCTTATCCAAAGTTTTTAAGAATAAACTGTACAACTAAAACTATATTAACTAAACTTTGTACAGTGTATAACAAGTCAGCTTACACTGACAAAATACTTCTAGAATTCGGGCTAGGGGAGTTATAATTGGCACCTAAGTCTCTTCAGGCTAGGGTTTATGTTTCATTAATCTTTGTATAGCCAGCTCTTTCAGCAGTATCTAAATACACAGGAAGAGTCTAATCGTTAGGGACTGTATTATATATCCTTGCTCCAAACCTTAACATCCAGTGTGACAGGATTTGAAGACAGGGCCTTCGGGGAGGTAGAACTGAATGAAGTTACAAGCGTAGAACCCTAATCTGACACTGCTGGTGTCCTTCTAAGAGGGACAGACTCCAAGGCACCAACTCTGCCTGCAACACAAGAAGAGCCATCTGAGGACAGAGCCAGAAGATGGATGCCCCCAGGTAAGGAAAAGAGCCGTGGGACTAAATCAGCCAGCACCTTAAACCGAGACTTCTAGACTCAAGAACTGTGAGAAAATAAATTTGTGCTCTTTTTTTTTTTAATATTTATTTATTTATTTAGTTTTTTTTTCCATTCTACCTTATATATTTCTTTTTTTTTCTACAGTTTTATTGATAAACATATAGCAATGAGACAGTTTCAAATCAAATCGGAAGTACAGTTTCAACAAATAATACACTGCATATATTCTTCTTAGTGGTTAATTGCTGTACAAGATGCGGACTTGTGATCCTATTTACAAACACCATGAGAACAAATCATTCCAGTCATTAAGAGAATGCAACTATATATCTACCCCAACCACTTTGAATACACAGATACAGAATGGACATTCATCGGTGTACCCCATTTTTCCTAAGTTCCGTTACTGAATATTATAGCTGTGTAAACTCAGCAAAATATTCTAAAAGAGTCCAGTAGCCCATAATAGCATTGGGTCTTCTGTTTAACTGGCAATGTCAGAAATTATTGACCTGAGTCCCCCACAGCTTAACTTAACAGCATGGCTTTATTTCTTATATTTCATCTTCATACTTTTCTACTGGATGGTTAAGACCAAGGTAAAGCAGGACCTGTGCAACAAGAGTTGTAGCTTTTTGGTCTGAGAAGGTCAATGAAATGCCCTCAGGATTTGACTTGAGATCCTGTACCTCAGATTGTAGAACCTTTATCAGTGCAGCCATGTGGATGAGTCACGACCATTGCTTGGCCAATGTGCTCTCTGTGAAAATTTGTGCTCTTTTAACCACCCAGTCTGTAGTAATCTTTAATGGCTGGCTAAGTTAATTAAGAAACCAGTTAATAGAAGAAAATAAATTAATAAATGAATGATGTGAACTTCAAATACTTAATCTCTATTCAGTAACCCTCAAACCAAAAAGCCAATCTTCGACTTGGCTTATGCTGGTTTTGAAGAAATTTTCCTGTATCATTGCAGTATTCTAACAGCATGATCTAGCTGGGCATTCTAACAGTTCCTCAGAGATGTGATTTTTCCATCCTCTGCTTAGCAAGCACAAGCAGTTCTTGCTCAAACATCATTAAGAGGATTAGGCTGCCAGCAGAGGGGAGGTGAAGTGGTTATAGCCAGAAACTGTACTATTAATTGTTCCAAGGGTAGTACATTAGTCTGTAAACAGTCAAGGAGAAACATGGCTGGTGAATAAAGAGCTCTTGGATGGAAGAACTATAAACTTTGGCCGGAACCAGTGTGCAGCAGCAGTGAAGAGGCCTCCTGCTAGGGGCTCATGGAAAAAGTGACCTCAGAGAGGAATTCAACACAGAAATGTTCCAAAAGAGAAGAAACACTATGAAGTTTAGATTAAGTTGTTTGGTTCCAGGCTCGTAAAACTATAAAGTAGTTTCAGCCCAAAAATGTGGATTACATGAACTTTATAGGAGATTACCTTCCTTTTCAAAATGTAGCTTAGAATTCCAGAGGACCTCTGTTCACACATTTTTTATAGTTTTGTGATGTTTGAAACACATTCTTCGAAAGAGGCCCAGGTCGGAGAGGCAAAATAGGTCAGTCCAGAGCCATCGCACCAGGATGATCCCAGGTATCCCGGAGCCTCCCTGCAGACACACACAGAGCAGGGACTCCAGGAAGGCCCAGACCACGCAGCGCCCGGAGAACCCCACCCAGCCCTTTCCCACTCTCCTACCCCAGCAAGGAAGCAACTGGGTCATGGAAATGCTTGAGTGTACTATTGCAGCAGTTCATGTCTTTTACCAGTACAATGAGCATTTCAGAGCTGGGGTTTCTTGCTAATGTGACTGATGCTGAAATTCATTGAAAAAGTCAAGTGTTTGCACAGAAATTTCACATGGATTTGAACAAAACCATAAGTGATAATAAGACACCCAGCTCCACCCACCTTCACCTCAAAAAGGCTTTCATTTTTAAATATAGATCTACACTTTGAGTAAGGCATGAATCAACTCATTTTTAATGCCAGTGGAATGTAATTTTAGAGACTTTCCAGAAAGAAAGGGGGTGTATGAACACATGAAACTTATTTATATTTTTATTGATGCTACTTCCCACAAATTAAAGATAAATTCTCAAGAACATGTCTCCAAGTTTCTCTCTGGCTAGTCTGAATGTGCCTGATCCGGCAGTGCCCTCTAGTGTTCCAGCGGATCATTGCAGTTTGCCTTCGGGTCCCAAGTAAGCCGCAGTACAACCAAACACCTCTATAATTAGCATTCATTTGTTCAACAAATATTTATTGAAAGTCTGCTATGTGCCAGTTACTGTGGAAAGTGGCAGGATACAGAGATGTATTTTTAAAAGCCATGACTTCTTGTTCTGTTAAGAAGCTCACAGTCTAACAAGAGAGACAAATGTAAACTCAATTATAAAACTACTCAAACAAATCATTTCACCTAGTTTTCCACTAAAATAAGACAGACACAGATGGCTGCCTTCCTTTGCAAGCAATGTTGGGCCATTATTCATATTAGCAGGCATTGGACAGAGCAACTTTAGCTAAGCACACAGGGAACTTTCTGAAACACACGAAACCTCCCAGGACATACAATAGCATTGAGTCCTGGTTTTAACAATTTGGGAAAGTACTTTTCACAGCCAAACCCAAGACTCTTCCGATCTTCTAGTTACCAAGGGGCCCACTGGTCACCAGACTTGACACACAAGTCTGGCATTTGTTGTTTTCCATTTCAGCTGACTGTGGTGGTGCACACCTATAAACCCAGCACTTGGGAGGGTGAGGCAGGAGTATCACTGAGTTTGAGGCCACACTGAGACACATAGTGAATTCAAGTCCAGCCTGAACTACAGTGAGACCTTGTCTAAAAAAGTTTTACTTCTATCCAAAAATGTAGTTTTTCTAGCACTGTAATGCAAGTCCTCAAACAGAATCCAATGAGATAGTAGAGGAACTAAGAGATACTAAGAATTTATCACACAGTGTTTTAGGATTTTTCGATCTGCAAACTGCCCCCTGGAGTCACAGAGGTACATATTCTGAATAGATGCATCTTCAGGGTTTCTAGTGAAGCAAAGGGAGTTTAAAGGAGTTGTGACTAGCTTACATCAAGAATAAAAGTGAAACTCAAATTACAATCAAAAGGAGCCAGGAATAACTGCAAACCAAGAATAATATGTTATGCCATTTTGTAATGTTTCTAACTTTTTTCTTTTTTTCCATTGCTGTTAGTGTTGTTTTTTGATCACCCATGAGACGCTGGTATGGGTGGGGCTTTTGACCTGCTTCTGTGGAATGTGGCAAAGGTGACGATCACACAAGATTATAAGCTTCATTCTCCCTTGCTGCTTTGATAGTGCAACTGACCAGTTGTGTGGGAAGGCCCATGTGGCAAAAAGCCAAGGGTGGTCTCCTGTCCTATTAGGAACTGAGGCTCTCAGAGGGCTGCCAAGGACCACAGAAATTACAAAGCAGTAATTGCTTTGTAATTACTTGGTCAAATGTCAGGCAAAAATGTAGCCCTGCTAACACCTCAACTGCAGTCAATGAACCTATACCCAGATCATGGATTATAAAAATCACAAGGTCAAAAAAGTGTGCTATTTTAAGTTGCCAATATTACTATGCAATGATCGGTAACACACACAGATTTCAAGATGCCTTTTTACTTCAAAATATTTTTATTACAAAAGTAATACAAATAAAAAATGAAATACTGAGTAAAAACAAAGTGATCTACTTATTGCCCTGTTGGCATACTATAACACAGCTAATTATTTGATTTACTTCACCGTCTTTTTATTTTTGATGTGCCATAATCACATGTGAAACCATTACATTCATTCTGTTTTGTATGCTTTAATATTTTCTCATATTTTTCATGTTATTAATTTTTAATGAGCACATAAAATACCATTCATGGATATCTGATTATTGACGATTTACCTAAACTAGGGGACAGAAAACTATGGCCTCAAATTTATAAATAAAGTTTTATTAGAACACAGCCAAGCTCATTGCCTATGGCTGTGTTCAAGCTTCAAACAGCAGTACTGAGCAGTTATGACAGACCATGTTACAAAAGGCCCAAAACATTCACTTTCTGTCCTTTTAAAGAAAGTGTACTGATTCCTACATGAAACTGTTAAGTGACTTATAATCTGGGCTACTAAAGGTTATGTCACCTGGAAAATCTTTGTGCATATAATTTTTCATACATTTACAATTTAGTAAAAGTGGAATAAGTGGCTCTAATTAATGAAGACATTTTTAGGCCTGGTATTGTCCCTTATTTTAAAATAGTCTAGCTGTGCTATGCCAAGGATGGTGGTAGAAAGAATGGAAAGGCGGACCTGTACTCCTGAAGGTAGCATTTCTCTGGTCCTTATTAATGCAGGGAAGTAAATTCACACCCCTTATGAGCACACTTTCAGTTCTGACTTAAAGTCAACCAATCAAAGTAGTATAGTAGCAGTAAAGTACAGCAAGAAAATAAGCCAACTGAAAGAAATCTTTGACTTTCTACGAAGGAGGAAAGGACAGGCAGAAGCAAACTCTGCGATGTAAAGACGCACCTGAAGTGGCACCCAAGCTCGCCGCACTGTGAACGGCACCGGGAGTGCTGCACGAGGGAAAGGTGGGAGTTTCCACAGGGGCCTAGCCGTGGCAGCTGAGTATGGGATGACACAAAACACATGTTCCATGTCTCTGAACAAAACCACAACTTAACCTGCATACAACTGTACTTAGACTGTCTTTATCTAAAAAGTTCCTAAACAATTGCTCCATGTTTTTGAGTTATATAAATTCTTGTATCTGGGAAAATTTTATTCTTCAGAAATAAAAACTATGGGATGGGACCAACTAAGTCAATCTTGAGATAAAATCTGAGTCAGTCTCTGCAAAGAAAGATGAAGCAGGCAGGTAGGTCTCAAATCCAATCTCTTATGAATAAAATAAGACCAAGAAGTGTAGATGTCATCTTTTAAGGGCAATATTCTGAAAAATAAAGGGGGGAAATATTAGGATGGACCCTTTACCCAGTAAATAATATAATTTAAAAGTAAAGTTAAGATACTTAAGATAATTATCCCAATTATGCCAACAAAGTATGTAAAGTAATTCCATGTAAAACACTTATTGTATTAAAATGTTCCTGTCAAAATGTCAACAAACTTATATTTCCTAAATAAGTGTTCTTTTGGTTAAAACTATTATTAGCTTTTACGTTCCACTTCAGTTACTCAGTAAAGAATTAAACAGACAACAACCCTATGAAATATTGTGGGAAAATATAAAATTATCCATACAGCTGGGGAATCAAATTACTTTTATAAAAATAATTAGAAAGATGTTACTTTGTACAAAACATAAGCATCTTATGAGGTAAGAAAATTGGGCCTTTTTAAAAAAAATCTTTATATGGCAAAGGAGGAAGTTCTTTAAAAATGACTTGATTTGCACTTAAAATCACATCATAATGTTCTTCGTTTTTCATTGTTTACTGTCAGTCACCTCAAAACTAACCTGAGGGTCTGGCAGCATAAATCCATCTGTAAGCTTATAATAGACTATTGTTGAGTCAGACTCCACTATGGCCAAAGTAAACGATGTCGGCAAATCTGGATCACCTTGCAGTTTACGAGATGCCTTCAAGATCTCTCTTATCCTAAAAATAAAGATATAACACATTTAGTAGTCACAGTCCCTCAGTCAGTGATAACATATTATAAAACTTTGAGGAAAAAGTAGGCAATTATGCTAGGAAATTTCTGAGGGCTCAAAATCTATACATTCAGAGCTGTAGTCTCAGATAGTAAATTAAGGATTGTCTGTCAACTTCCAGTCCTGAACAAAAGCATTCCCCTAGCCTTTCTGATAGACTGTGTTTTAAGAGCCTACAAAAGGGGACGATAATAGGGCTTTGTACATCTATGGATCGGGGGTACTAATTTTTCAATTTTCCAACTTGGTATCTTATAGTGGAACAAACTATATTCTGGTTTATTATTTTGGAAAAACAGACTGCAATAAGTATTTCCCCATCTTTTTGCATGGGGTTTATAATTACCATCTTTTTTTTTTTTTTTTTTTTTAGTAATTTTATTGAGAAACAAATAGCAATGAGACAGTTTCAAAACCAATTAGTAGGACAGTTTCAATAATTAATACATTGCATATTGTTATCTTTGTAGTGGTTATTCATAGTACAAGATGCAGACATGATATCCTGTCCAAACACTATAATTACCATCTTTAAGATTATTATAAGCATTAATGAAGTAGCACATACAAAAGAGCTTTGCAAACTGTCAAGTCCTCCCTGAACACAAGTATTACTACACAGTAGCTACAACAGCTTTGCTACTTTGCCAACTGAGACATAAACACCCCTCTCCACAGTTTTTGTTAAAAACAAATACTAACCCACACATACTAAGTTATACTGTGCCATTAGTGGAAATGCAGGGAACACTTATTTTGTTAAATATGTGTCCTGTATTCCCCAAAACTGACTTAGTCCTTAAATAATAATTTCCACCTGTGTTGAGTTACAGGACAGTGGGTTAAATTCTGTTCATACGAGTAGTTTAGGTTAGAGATTCAGAAACATTCAGTCATTGATCAGAAACTTCATTCCTGAATACTGATGGAAAGTGATACCCTCAAAAAAGACAGCATACCCTCATTATTTCATCAATGCAAATCTTTTAATGTAAATATTTTTCTTCCTCAAAAGTGGTAAACTAGGACTGGGGAGATAGCTCAGCCACCTAAGCATCTGCCTGGCAAGCACAAAGATCTGAGTTCGATCCCAGGTACTATATGCCATGCCAGCCTCAAGGTGTGGTGCACACACCTGTAACCCCAGCACTGGAGAGGCTGAGACAGGAAGATCACTATGAGTTTTAACTGCATAGTGAGACCCTGTAACAAATAAATAATAAATAATTTTTTTAAGTGGTAAACTAATAGTCATAGAAAAGATCAATTTTATACACTGCCCATCTTGAATTTTTTCTACAATGATGAAAACAAAAAACAAGCTGGGTGTGGTGGCACACGTTCATAATCCCAGCACTTGGAAAGTTGAGGCAGGAGGGTCACCGTGAGTTACAGGCCAGCCTGTGCAACATAGTTACTTCAAGGCTAGCTTAAACTATATAGCAAGACCTTGTAAAAAGAAAGGGAGTGGGGACAGAGGCAGACTATGAAATGACTAAAATTTTAACATATCTAAATCTTCTGTTCTCGTATGTATCCCAGTTACTTCTCACTATATAATATACATAAAACTCAGTATATAACGGACATAGAAACCACTGCAATGCCACAGTTAAACACAATTTCTCTGAACATCTCTAACTCATAGACTATGAGGAGAATGGGACATGGAAAAGAAGAATAAACCATGTAAGACAACTCTGTATTTTCTGTTCTTCAATATTGTTAAAGCTAAGAGGGGGAACATGGTTGTGTCTTTCTCCTTCAGCAAACTGTATGGGAATTTTAGCTCATACATTGAATTTGGATAGAAATTTCCATCTGATTCACTCTTCTTTCATTCTCAATTGATATTTTGTTTTCCAAGTTATTTAGTATAAACAGCAAAACATTTCTCAGAATGACTCAAAACACGCATGAGAGAAACCTTAAGGTTTGAAAATTAGCTCCGTGCTGTAAAGGGGGCTTTGTTTCCAGAGGTGAGGGAAATCGTCAGAGCTGCAATGGAAGTTCCCACGTCCAGCTCATTTACACCGCAAGGGGTTGGGGGATGGGGGAGCAGGGCCTCTTCTCAGTGTCCGCCTCCTTACTGGAAGAGCACTTGGGAAGACTCACAGTGAAAGTTTCTTATCTAGGATCTTTCTAGGCTATTTTTTTTTTAATATTATCTTTCCTCATTCAAGAAGTTTCTGATTTGTCTCCTTTATAGGATACAGTATAAACTCAGAAAAATGCTTATGCTGCTTTTACCAGATGTTTTTTAATGTATTAGTAATAATCATCTTAACAAAAGGTTCTAAAGTTTCAAATTCTTAAGATAGCCTTAAAGAATCATACATAATTATAAAAATGCCAACAGAGTAGCATTACTAAAATATATATAATCTCACATTATCACCAGTAAATTTGAAACCTTCATTTATAAGAGACAGAAATCTATATGTGGAAATGTCTTGTATATTAATAAGAACTTCAATTTTTCAACTCAGTTAACTCTTAAGGGAAAAAAATTACATAAGAAAGAAATACATCAATGATAACCATAGCTACTGATTAAATGTAATAAATTTTGATGTTCATAGCAAATATTTCCTTCTAATAACTATTCATAAGTGAGCTCGACACAGTGAAAAAGAAAAGAGTGATTCTAAAGCTTAAGACAGCAAACAAGTGTGACGTAAACACACAGCAAACCAATGTGTGGTTAGTTAACCACATTAGCTAACCAATGTGCTTAGTCCAAGCTACTTAAATGCTTTCCATAAACCTTAGCATTGATTTTTCTGTAATGATCCTAAAATTAAGGAATCTCTGGAGATTAATAGTAAGGATGAAAAATTGAAGAAAATACTCATTTTAGTTAAATAGGCTGTTAAAACAGAGTGCATCACAGAATAAAATTAGTATTAATTTGAATACACAGAAGGCAGGATCTGCTGCTCTCAAGCGGCCCAACTGGTACATGCTGCAGCCTTGTCAATAAAAGGCACCCAGCGCCTTGATCTGGCTGATCATGACATACGTAAGTGATATGTCATAATGCAACTGAAGCACAATGCAAAACTAACCAGAGCATTGTATCAGAGCACTGGAGAGGCCATGTTCATCTACAAGCTGAATCCTGAGGAAGGTCCAGGGACAACAGAGCCCTCCGTCAGGAGTCATGCCAATGCCCTCCTGGTTAAAAATGCTGTTTGCAAATCAAAGTAGCTATAATCTCAAGGGGATTTCCCAAACAAGCTGTGCTGTGTGGCTCTTCACCTCAGGGAGAAGCCATTCTGCTAAAATAAATAAATTTGAGTCTTTTTTTTTTTTTAGAAGAAGACTGAAAAAGTGCTGTTTAAATTGAAAGAAGCTGCCACAATTGGGAGTTTCACCAACTCCCAAACAATAGGTGAACCCAACAGAGGTAAGCTGAGGACACACATCCTGATATAAAGGGATTCCAAGTGACAGAAATCACTTCATTATTATTCAGGCCTCAAACAAAATAGCTGTCATTAAAGAAATTTAGAAGATTTAAACACAAACTTAAAGTCTATACTTTCAGAAATAATTTTAAGAACACCGGTACTTAGCCGCGGATGGGCATGTCCTTGGGCTAGAGAGCAGAACACCAGGCTTCTGAACTGGAACTTTCCTTGTGGTAATGAGGGAAGAGCAGTGACCACCCGGTGCGGAAGCTGCAGCAGGTTTAAAAATGGGATGTTGAGAAAAGCTAGAAAATTTTTGTACACAAGTGTGCCCAGTGCCACACTGTTGAGAAGGGAGGCAAGCACAAGACTGGGCCAGATCTCCATGGTCTCTGGGCAGAAGACAGGTCAGGCTGCTGGCTTCTCTTACACAGATGCCAACAAGAACAAAGGTATCACCTGGGGAGAGGATACATTGCTGGAGTATTTGGAGAATCCCAAGAAGTACATCCCAGGAACAAAAATGATCTTTGCTGGCATCAAGAAGAAGGGAGAAAGGGCAGACTTAATAGCTTACCTCAAAAAAGCTACTAATGAGTAATAGTCACTGCCTTATTTATTACAGAACAGAAATGTCTCATGGCTTTTGTATGTGTACCATAATTTAATCTCATACACCAGAATTCAGATCATGAGTGGCTGACAGAATATTTTTATTGGACAGTCCTGATTTAAATAAAATTGGCTTGTAGTTAAATGTATATCTTTTTTTAATTTAAGATTTGATAGTAATTCCAGTTCAGTAAATACTATCACTGTTTTCCCTTCTAAATACATGGTTGGACTTGATTAGTAATGTTCAACTTTTCACAAAGATTGAGAATATCATCTCAAAACTACTGAAGGTTGGTTTTATATTTAGATTTAAATAACTGGTTATGTGAATATGTTTAAATACTGAGAGAATCTTTCATTGTCTCAAAACCAACCAAGACTCCCCTGTTTCAGTTTGTGTTTATTAGCCTGGTAAAGGGAGTGGTTGAAGACAAGAAAGCTATATTTTTAGTCTTGACTATGCCAGTTTAATTAGAATTCCCTATATCTAAAAAGTGCTGCCTTTTACTTATTGAAAGGCATTTTAGTGTGGTGTATGTATAATACCAAATAAAGAATATTTAACATTTCTCACATTTCATAGTTGATCTGTAAATTCAGATCCTTTTAAGAGTTAGCATGATATAATAGCAAGTTAGACTTTTGAATTCTTTAGGTCAGACTGAGTTACTGTTTAGGGTAGTATTTAAACAACTATTCAAAAACACAAGACTAAAACTACTGTTGTGGGACCGGGAAGATGGCTCAGTAGAATAAGCGCTCGCCTGGCAAGCACAAGGGCCTGAGTTCAATCCCCGGTTCCGTAAAAAAAATAAAAAATAAATAAAACTACTGTTGTATGTGTGACTGGTAGTGGTACTTCCTGTCAGCTCATTAGAAGGACTAAAGTGAGGAAGGTATGACATGAGCACAAATT